CCTCATGGGGTCATTTTGGTTATTCTTAAGACAGGAGTGCTATAATTCATGTTAAATATTAAAATTAACTTTTTAAATGTATCACTAGGGGCCAAAGAAACTTAACCTTTCATGCTTTAAAGTAGTGATTTTTTTAGATTGTATATAGATTGTATATAGAACAAATTGTTTTTTTTTTTTAAATTGTACAATTAATTCGGATGAGAACGCCAAAGATAAAGCGTTTAGTAATTTAAAAAAAAATGTGCACATACTGTAAAAAAAATATATTTTTAGTTAAAATCCACCTATATTTTGAAATTCATTTACAACGGTATGTTTACCACGGTTTTGGAAAGATTCAACAATTTACCAAGAAGCTTGCATTTTAACGTATGTCTTCTTGTTTAGGTATAAAAATATAATGTAGAAACTTCTATGCACAATAGTAACTTTCTAACATATATGTTTAAATCTAATTTAAACTTATTTTAGGAACATCATAAAGTATAATAGAAACACAAGAAACCAACAAATGACATTAATATAACATGAAAACCATTCCAAAAAAAATAATGTTCTACAAGTTAAATTCTTAGAGAAAATTATATATATATTTATATATATATATATATATATATATATATATATATATATATATATATTATAAAAATACATTTTGTGTATATTTTCAATATAAATATATATATATAACTTTTAAAAATACATTTTGTGTGCATTGTCAATTTCAATCACTATTTCAATAATAAAAGATGTAAAAAACAAAATTCCCTTAATCTAGACCATGTACATTAAATTTAAAATGAAAGCAACATAGGGGACCCACTCTAAATGGTTATTTTTTAAAATTATTAATGAAATAAGAACCATTAATAATTCATTAATTATATAATTTAAAAAAATTAAAGCTTGTCCAATTAAAGTCTGTTGAAATATATAGCGTATTCTGTGGAAAATGGAATAAACGTTTCGGACCTAAACAAGGGGGAAAATTATGAGCTAAAATGTTCCAGTATTTTAATCTATATTTTAAAGTAAATGTGTAACAAGTTTTGTTTAAATATAGACATTTATTGTAATTTCATTTATATACCTCATTAAAAAGAATTTGTGCTACAAAAAAAAAAAATTACAACACTTCAAGAGTTTGTTATGGACAATGAAGTGAAATAATTTTGCATCCAAATTTTACTATATATCCTAAGTTACAAGGTACAAGGAACATTCCTTATATTAAAAGAGTGTTACGTTTTTAAACGGATAATTTTGTGTAGAAAAAACGTATTTTAAGCACATAAAATGAAGCTTTATTTAAATGCGTGCAGCAACGAAAAGCGCACCGAAAGTGTTCCTATGATGACCCTTTAATAGATGTTCCAAGGTGCACCGTTCTAAATAATAGCTGTTGAAAATGGGGACTTTTAAAATAACTTAACACGAACGCCCGTCAAAAAGATGTTTAAAATATACTTTTTATCTACCTCCTACCCTCTACATATTAATTTTTTTTTATTACAGCTTTTGGAAAACAGGGTTGGGGGGGGGGGAGACCTAATTTTCAAAAAACTATTTATGGGTCAGGAGAAAGGATATTGTCAAATCGGTTTGTGATCCATTGTTTGCTTTTTCTTGTGATTTATCAACCCACTTACAAACAAACAAGCATAGTCCAACTGGCTTTATATACGCAATATATCTGATTGCTTTGCACAGATATAAGGAATATGCGTCTTCATGTTATTACCTAGAACTCTTCATTTTATAATTTGTTGTGGCTTAGAGAGACATTACGCCAGATTATGGGTTTTCAGCCCTCTACCCACCCCCTTAAAAAAAAGAGCAATATTTATAAATATATAAAAAGCTTTTTGTTATAGGGAAAATTGTTCATAACGAAATTGAGATATCGCCGTCGCATGCATAAGCACTAACTCAGATGTAATAACTTTTTAAAACTAGTTCAACTACTTTTTGCTTCAGTCCCAAAGATGTCCAGTTTTCACTGTATTAATAAATACGTAACCCTGATGCAAGGCGAGAAGCTGGCGTTGGCTTTGATATCAAAACCTCTTTTGCGAGCAAGCTCCCCAGCTCTCGAAAAGGTATCACTGACGGTCTCACGACGATGAAAATCCCCTTCTGCCATGGAAAGAAGGCTTCCACTTGGTCAGTGCTTTTGCCCCCATCATGACAAACACAGAAGAGACCTTAGAAAATGTTTATGAAGACCTGAACACTGCTATCTCCTCAACACTGGCTGCTGACAAGCTCATCATTCTTTGAGACTTCAATGCACGTGTCGGCATTGACTACACCTCTTGGGGCATTGAGAGGTGACTGGAAATTATGATGTTCGAAAGTGCTACAGAAACGGCCTACAGCTAGTTCAGACATGTGCTGAACACGGACTTCTAATAACAAACTCCACCTTCAGCCTCCCTACGCGCAACAGGACCTTCTGGATGCACACCAGTAGAAACACTGACACTTTATAGATTATGTCATCGTCAGAAAAAGGAACGGCAGGATGTGAGGGTGACTAAGGCAATGTGCGGCGCAGAATGCTGGACAGACCACCACCGAATCGTTTCAAAGATAAAAATCCACTTCCAACCCAAGAGACGACCGCAGGCCACCAAGGCTCCGAAAAAGCTTCAACATCGATGGGCTGAAGATCTCTGATGTGAGAAAAACCTTTTTTGACAACCTGGATGAACGCCTTGATAACATCACAATGGACAACCAGAACGCCGAAACAGTTTGGACCACACTTTGTGAGACGATGTATAGCACATCCACTGAGTTTCTTGGATCCGTTATCTGGAATCAGAGGGATTGGTGTGATGAAAACTACTCGGCGATACAAGGGCTACTTGAGCAAGGCCCTCTATGATGACCCAATAACAACAGCAAAGACAGCTGCACTGGGGAGTATCCGCAGCAAGGTCCAGTTGCAACTGTGTCAGGTGCAAGAATACTGGCTAGGTGCGAAAGCTGGTGAGATTCAGGGATTTGCAGACAATATGAAAAACTTCCAAAGTGGCCAGAGAGAAATGTATGCTTTACCACCTAAGGCTCTTCCCCTCTCCTTGGTGCAGATGGTTCTACACTTATCACAAACAAGGAGGAAAAACCTTTGAAAGATGGGCGGAACACTTTGATAATGTGCTGAATACGTACTCCGTTATTAACCATGAGGCCATTGAGAGACCGCCCCAGGTCCCAAAGAACAAGTATCTGGACGCTGTACCAATTTTGTTCGAGATACAGACAGTCATCTGAAAAATGTCCAGTGGCAAAGCACTTGGCTCCGACATGACTCTTATTGTTGCCGAAATCTACAAAGAGGGTGGATCAGCGCTTACGGATAAACTATTGCGACTATTCCAGGTCATCTGGCAGACTGAAACGGTGCCACAGGACCTCAAAAAGTTGCTCAATCTCCTCATGTAAAAACACAAAGAAAACCTCCAGGCTTGCCAAAATCACCGCGGAATATCACTGCTGTCCATCGCGGGAAAGATCTTGGCCCGATCAATTCTGAACCCAATGAGTACACATCTGTAGTTTAGTCTATAACCAAAAGTCAATGCGGTTTCCACAAAGAACGTGAAACTATTGACACGGTGTTTCCTACCAGGCAGCCCCTAGAAAAGTGTCAGGAGTAAAATATGGACTTATATTCCACATTTATAGACCTGAATAAGACTTTTGACAAGTCAGTTGAGATGGCCTGTGGAAAATCATCAAGAAGTACTGATGTCCAGACAAATTCACAAACATCATCCGTTATCTGCATCATTGCCCAAGTGCAGGACAAGGATCAGACATCTCAAGCACAAACTGGGCTGTCTTCTGCCTCCCACAATCTTCAATATTATATACTCGGCAATGCTGCTTGCTGCATTCAAAGATTCCACCAAGGCCTGCCAATCCGTTTTCGCACGGATGGATTAGACTTCAACCTTAGGGGGCTTCAAGCTGAAACCAAGGTTAAATATACAACATCAAGGAGCATCTGTTTTCGGAAGATTGTGCCCACAAAGCTGCCGCAGAAGCCAACATGCAACACAGCGTTGATATCTTCTCTGAGGCCTTCAACAACTTTTGCCTTACAATCAATGTAAAGAAGACTGAAGTGATGTATCAGCCATTTCCCACTAAGCCCTACGCTGAACCCAGCATCATAATCAGCGGTTACGATACGAGGCAAAGATTTGTTTATTAATATTTAGCGTTTGTGTGTATTTCCTTCTTCAACATTGTGCATCTTCTTCAACATTGTACCATTACAAGAAATTACTGTACTGAAAGCCAATAACTTCAGTTTTTATTCTTCTTTATTTTGTAATTTTAAATTAACTTAATAAATTATTAATTGTACTTAGCCCTAGTTTTGGGTATCGTTCTTTATTTTTGTGTCTAATTAATTTTATCGTCTTTGTTCTGTACTGTTTATCAACGAGCCATTATGTCAAATAAGAGACTAAATTCTCTGCACTTAGAACGGTACGTAACAGTAATGTTTATTAAGGAGATACAATGAGTTTAGCATTATAATATACTGTACCTATAGCTATTAGCATAAACATTTTAACCCTTAAAAAAACTATTTTGCTCCATTGCACTCGGATGATAATACTGCCCTTTATATAAAACGTACTCCCTTTCTACGCCACTGTTTGTTTAAAATATATATCACCTAATTCACCAGCATCAGTTTCAATAGTATGTTAAGGATGTAATACATTTTCTCGATAATTATTCTTATGTAGCATCCATTTATCAATCACATTTTAGATATATTATTTTTATTTTTGGTTGTGAGACCTAACTTATTCGAAGATTTTATGATGTATTTCAATGTTTACTACGGGTTACTTTAAATCAAGCATCAACAGAAATTGATATTTCTCACATGAATCAATTTTTTTAAAAAAACATTGCTTGGATGAAATTTGTTGTTTTTCTTTTCCTTTTTTTTTTTTGCCTTCTAAAACTCTCTATCTTCGTATGAATTTGTAAACCGATTGCAGGAAAAATGCCTAGTCCTATCGAAATCGGTATCCCTGCGATAGGAATAAATAGTGCTAAGGGACTGGCTACTGTTGTGATGGCTTCTACGGATGTCCAACCAATGAGCATGTCATTATCAATTTTTAAATTGTGAATTTTTGTCTTCAGAAGGGTTATTCGTTCAAGAAGATCCACTTTTTTTAGTTCTTGTAAACCACCATCGTTAATTTCTGAAAAGATATTATCCGCTCTCGTAGAGAATGTTGAGAACGTGCTAACTAGTGTTGGAATTTTCTGAATGTTGACATCATCTTGAAGCGCAACCATTTCCCGAGTTAACTTTCTTGTCTTCTCTGCCAACCGGACGTCTGTTTTCAATTGGTCAATTTTTTTTGTTCAGCTGATAACGTGTCTTGTTCAAGTTCTTCAAATATTGAGTCACCCAAGTTCTCTTTACTAACATCCTCAAACAGCGTTTTTGCCTTGTCTTCAATGTCAGTAAGCTCACTGGACATTCTCTCATCCTCGGGTCTGGCTTCGTTTATAATCTTAATTAAATCATAAACACGAGATTTCAGTAATTCCACCCGTTCCATCAGCTGCATTCTGACTTTCTTTAAATTTATCGTTTCTATCATACATTGGACTTGAGACCGTATTTCTTCCAGCAACGGTTTTTCGTTATTGTCGTAGTATATCTTTTCCTTGTCGTCCATGCTATTCACGCGGGCCAAAGGTTGACTAGCCGAAGCCTCTAAACCCATGATTTCTTTAAGTGAAGATGACGACATGATCATACTGGGCATCTTCTCCCTCAGTAAGTCTGTCTCTCTCTTGGTATTCCAACTTAAGTTTTGGTAACATTGTTTCCAGCTCTAAACCTCTTCTGTTGTTTCTTGGCCTCGTCAAATTTAGCTCTTGTATAGCCTTGGTCCAGCCTGTCAACATAAATGCATGAGCTGTTTCAGTTGCTCTTCCTGTTTAACATGACATTTGGTTTTGTTATTAAACAGCACACATTTAAATCCACACTTTTTAATTATTTTACCCAGTTCCCCACTCTGTTCTTTTAACCAGGCTTCAAAACGTTTTTTGCCATTGTGATTAAACATCAAATGTGTTACTATGTGTAAATATGATGACGCAAGATTTCCAAAGATTCTCCTCACCGAAAATGTTCTTCAGAATTCGTATCGTGGCTCTGTTCTCCTCGGTGAACCGTTCGCCGTATTTAAGAACAAGAGGAATGGCCAGCTTCCCAGACGTAGGACAAATGCTCATGGCGTGTATCATTTCTCGGCACGACTTCCACTTTGCTTCCGTTGAGTCCACACTCGTGTCCATAATACCAGGTGTGTCTACGACTGTTAATGTGTAGCCTTGTCTCACAACGCTTATAATTGTCATTTCTGACGTCACAGACGTGCCAGCGTCACCAAATTTAAATGCAGAGCTTCCTAAGATGGAGCTTCCTGTTGCACTCTTTCCGCTACCGGTTTTTCCCACAAGTAAGAATATTCGTGTGAATTCGTCCGATATCCTCTCTTCTGCATCAAAGAGAAAAAGGATAATTGATGATGAATAAATTTTTGTTTTTTTTAAATTAAATTTTACATATCTTTTTTTTAACAATGTAAGCTTATATTTTATAAGATATTGATTAATCTATCTCAATGTCTGATATATCTACACACAGTCTAAGCATTCTCAGGGATTTGAATTATTTTCATAATTTTGCCTCGTCCATTGTTGTTAAACTTGACTTTCCATCCCACCAAACAATGATGGGTTCTGGGAATAGCAATTTAGCTATAAGAAACTTTAACAAGAACAGGTAAAAAAAAATATTTTGAAAACAAATTTTTTTAAACCGTTTTATAACACTTGTCACAGTTTAAATATTTAGTTTTCAATTTTTGTTTCTTAAAATAATGTATTGTTTTGTTAAGTAGAAATAACAGCAAGTTAGGGAATTATGGGATAGAAAAAGCGGACGGTGACAGTTGGTATTTCTTTTATTAGCGCTGGCAATGTTCATTTAGTTATTAATCAGCATCTTAAGGTTGATTTGTGAAACAGAAGAAGTTGTATGAAGAATTATATTTTACTCGGATCTACACAGATATTGTTTTATTGTGTGTTCGTTCATCAGTCAATAAATGTCGTGGTGCTGATTCAAGGAGTCCTCTGGTACTTGTGTTTGATGAACATGGACGTATGAAAATATGGATGTATAGTTATAGTGTAAGCGATAATTACAACTCTACCTGTAACATCAAAACACTTATATTTATGATCCGTTACAATACTGTTATATGGTTTTGAAAATTTAATTTGCTTTGAAATTTGATTTGTTAAATTAAAAATACGTAAAAAAGGAATGAAAACCAGAACACAAAGAAAAACAACGCCAAACTTGGCCAAAGCTGGTGAAAATGAATAATTAAATTTAATTATGCTTTTAAATGTATATATATATATATATATATATATATATATATATATATATATATATATATATATATATATATATATATATATATAGCCTAGTAGAGCTTAGAGCTTTGGTTATTTTAAACTACACAGAGTTATTTTTAGCATCTACAATTTTTCTGTTTGTAATCGCCTTGAAATCGATGCCAATGTGCAACTATTTAGCCTGACCAGGTTGTGGCTGACGAAAAAGTTGGTTTACTCTAGGATGGGTTCCATTTGTTCTCAAGAAAGCCAATAGGTGACGCTGTTTCTAGATTTTCTCTATCAACATGTTCTGAATTAATTAACATTTCAAGCCTGCCAGTTTTCTTAGCAGATAGACTTTCTGAGTATTAGACTTGGCGAGACTTACTTTGAGATAGACTAACTAGGCGGGTTTTTTTTTAATTGTTGTACGTATGATTTAGTTTTTCTGTTTTGAGGATTGAATCTTTTTTGTGTGTTTTTTAACTTGCCGTAAGTTGATACGCTTTTGGCTTCTATACTTGACTTCGTATTTGTAATTATAATATCTATAGATTTGCTGTCGCTTTTCTTTGCATACTTTTAGATTAGTTTTTTTGTTAAGCATTTCTTTTATTTAAACGAGCCAAATATTAATTCAGAATTAATCTTTATAACCATAGCGGTGTGTAACAATCTAAAAAAAATACAAAATCAAATAGACAGAAAGTTAAAAAAAAAAAACTATAATAACTTAAAGTAATTGAAAAGGTAAAAACAAGGAAAGATAAAAATATAAAATTACACACACACACATAAAGAGAATAATCTTCTAAAAAAAAAAATACGTCTCTTAAGTGTCTAGTAAAAATAGCAAACATCTCTCTTCGGCTCTGAAAGCTGTCAGATTTTATATATATATGGATATACACATTTTTATATAGAACCCTCAAAAATAACGATTCTCAAATTGCGTTACTTCATAGTGTTCTTTAGAGCAAATAGAGCGTATCAGAATGGGTGAGTATAAACGAAATGGTGCTACACATTTAATCGGTGACGTCAATAAAAATTAGGGTGTGGGGAATGGTCAACCCTTTAGATATAGTATGAAGTAAATTTAGACCAAGAAGTAGGCTATACCAGTGTAACCAATTGCCGTGTTGCAGCCCGATACCGGTACACGCGAAAGCAAAATTACCGGGTCAAAGAAAGAAGAGAAACAACGGCTTCCCGGTCACGAAATAAAAAAAAATTAGGTGACACTGGGCAGTACTATAACAACCATCGTGTACTAAATATTTTGTTCGAATTATTGTAAAGGGGACATTTATTAATGAGAAAACTTTGTATTTCATTTACATACTTTTTTTTTTAAAAAGTTAACGTTATTTTTGAATACCCAGTTCACGAAATTCATCAAACCCTCTGTTGCCCGGATGCATAAAATAAAAATATCTTGAACCACCAGTATTACAAATTAAAGGTTTCCAAATAAGTATTGTCTGTAAAACAACTTTACAAAAAAAAAAAAAAGAAAAGATTTTGTGGAAAGAAATATACACACTTTGATACCTAATCCAAAGTTTCGACAATAGATAGAAATAAAAAGTTAACGTTATTTTTGAATACCCAGTTCACGAAATTCATCAAACCCTCTGTTGCCCGGATAAATAAAATAAAAATATCTTGAACCACCAGTATTACAAATTAAAGGTTTCCAAATAAGTATTGTCTGTAAAACAACTTTACAAAAAAAAAAAAAAGAACAGATTTTGTGGAAAGAAATATACACACTTTGATACCTAATCCAAAGTTTCGACAATAGATAGAAATATCATTTTCCCAATGACTAGTAATGCACTATAGATTCATGGTGAATTGTATGTGAGTAAAACGTTAATAAAATGTATTGCAACACCAAATCGTCTCTCGGTGATATATTGAGGTATCAACGTTTCATACTTAATCTAAACGACGAATTGAAATCTTATTAAAAAAAAACTCTCCACAACATTTTATGCTTAGCAATCTATCGGCCAGAATACATGTAGCAGCATTATACAATTTTAATAACATGGACGCTAACGGTGTATTCTTACTTCGATGATTGGAAGTAACCAGTTCCAAGAAGGAGGGATCGTCTCGAATTTTGAAACACATTTCACTACACAAAGATCTGTTCACGGTCACCTCCGATCACGAACTGATGTGGTACCAGCTTGTGGTACACACGGCAATGTTTGCTGTTTACAACGCAAGATCTCATGGTTGGGCGTTTCAGCCCGAAGGGCGGATTTGAATGACAGCCCAGTGGAGATTTGAAATGCTCCATGGGTTTAGGGCTGGTGGGGTGTTGCGTGTTATATAAAGAAGACTTTTACACAACAATTGTCAAAATTATATAAAGATCAATAAGATGCTATTTTGATTTACAGTATTGAAAAAGTCGTGCTTAGCCGTAGTTCGTGGATGACTTAGTTTCCAAACACACGTGAAATAAACGCAGACCTTTCAAACAGTGCGGTGGCTTTTAAGTACAGTGCATCGGTAATCAGCGAAGTGAAGTAAAGATGAGATCTGAAGTATGTTCACTAAAAAGTTATGGCACCTGACATAATTTCACAAGCATTTGCTGGAGACAGTGGCGTAGCTAGGGATTGGGGGCCAGGGGGGGCTTGGCCTCTTTTGGGGCCCCTGCATTTTGACATTCGACATTATTTAATGTAAAAATAAATTTCGGACGCTTCTTTGGGGGCCCCCCTCAAGAAGGGGCCCTGGGGGACTTTCAAATATGGACGCCCCTCCCTCTCCCCAGCTACGCCACTGGCTGGAGACATAGTTTAAAATTTGGGCCATACAAGTTATTAGAACTTTTAAAAATTTCGTATTTTTTAGAATTATATTTGTTTTAATTTTTAGAAGGCACATCCTTGCAGACAAGATTATCTTTGGATGAGAGTGGAATAGATTTATCTCTCTTTTATAACAGGTTTTTTTATTATTTTTTTTTTTTAAAATACATTTTTATAAAGCCTTATTTAGACGACAAATAGCAACTAGTTTTGATGAAACGATTCTACATTGGGCATTGAATATGAAACAGTGGTTATTTTAAATTATATCACAGCGGCAATGTTTTTGTAATGTTACCACCAAGGGCTTGTTGGCACTAGAGTCTTTTAAGTTCCCAAATGTGTTTAACGTATTTTCGGGGTAATAAGGGGAGAGACTGCAATCAGGTTAGTACAAAATAAAATGAGTAAAACAGAGTATGGTTAAACCTGAAAAATTAAACGCAACAAAACAGCGAACGTGTCGGCAGAAAGCCTTCGTCAGCGAACAAAACAACAGAAAAAACGTTATAAAAATAAGAAATAGCACTTAGCTGGTAAGTAGTATCTGTGGGCAGCAATAGAAGTCTATTTTCGCGCATATATTAGACGCACCCGTATACAAGACGAGGCTTTCTGACGATTCGTGTAAACAAAAAATTACATTAGACCCACGCGGCCTGGCCATCTGCCGCACTGAACAATTTACATCCAGTGGTTTGCATTTCTTTATCGTAAGTGAAGTTTGCCCAATGTTTCATCAACCAGTCGGCTGTAAACAAGGCTTCATTGCTCATTTTTATTTTAGATCAAAATATGGTCTGAGGCTGGACCGCAACGATTATGACATATTCGTATCTGCCATGGGCCAATGGTGCATGGGTTGTGGACCTGGTATCTAGATTCTAGCAGCCATAAACGCCAGATGTCGCGTCGACTTCATTAATCTGCTGGGCCAAACGAGTGGGATTAGCACTGGATATAGACCAATAAATGTGTGATTTATTCGCTTAACAAACATAAGTGAGGGGATTGTCTCTTGTTACTGGTCTTTATAAATGAGACACACCAAATTACAAGACGCACCAATATATATGTCAAGGGTTTTGACGATTTTTGAAAAAAAATCTTTTACATAAGACACACCCATATATCAGACCCTGGTCGCGGTGTTATGTAAAACTTTGAATAAGACGAGTGTTATATTCGCCAAAATACGGTAGTAGTGATTGTGTAATTCATTCACAGAATCAGTTTGCCAAAGCTTTAAAGTTGCTAGGACAAACAACCCATGCCATTTCTGCAGCATTAAACTTAGTTAAAGCTTACAGTCCCACCGTCCGACTTATTATCGAAGTACTGTTTTAGAACGATTTATTTTATTGGTTTTCTTTAGTTTGCAGCGCTGTATTACTATATTTTGGCAAATTTTATAAAATGTAACATTATAAATATATGAGCAGGACTGGGGTAAAAAAAAAGATTACATACTCTTAAGTTAAGAGTCTTAACTCTCAATCTCGGGCTTAAGAATAATATTATCTTAAAAGCTTCAGTATCGCTGGGGTCACGTTAATAAGCTCAATTATTCATTCATGTTTCACTTTCTTGCATTTTATTGTGTATTTTCTCTAAACTTAGTCTAGATCAGTAAGGCTCAATGTAATGTCACCTAAGAGCTGGTAACCAAAACATTTACGAACCATTTGTTTCCCGCTGAAGCTGTCGCCTCTCAAAATATTTCATCAGAATCAAATTTACCTCAACGCCTACGGGGAGTGCACGTGTCACTGGGATTTTGTAACAAAAATCAATAATATATAATGAATGTACTTTTTTTTTTTTATTTCATTGTGTCGACTCCATGACACAGTTCAATGCAGAAGGCAGATGTTGGTGCAGTGTAGCCTAGAATAACGCAAAATCTGATGCAATACTTAAAAAATTGAAGTTATTCAAAAGCAGATCTATTTTTTTGAATGACGTGGCAAAAAGAAAACTCAAACAATTAATTTTTTTTAGCATGGCTAACAAATATGTATAAACTAAGTGGATTGCTGACAAGTTCTTCTTTTTTTTCAACTGCATACCCAGCCAATCGACAAGTAAAGCGATGTTTATTTTATTAAAGATCCTCATAGCTTATTATGCATCCTATTGTTACAACAAAATCATCGAACATGTTGAATGGGCTAAGGAACTTGTCGGCAAACTCATGAGTCAAAAGAGTAAAAAATCAGCAGCAGGACTGTTACAATTTTTTTTAAAGAGCCAAATTTCTTTTCAAGAACCTATCAAGAACCATGTTTTTTTGGAGTCAAAACCGATTTGTGGCCGAGTCGCACTCATATCGCCAGGGAGTCACGATTTGCCGACCACTTTGCTAGGGGTGTAATAGAGGCTACCCGCTCAACTTAAATAATGCACACTTTGATAGTTTTAAAAGATACCATTAGTTTTGCAAGGAATCAAGTCTCTTAGTGAGACCGATTAGTATGCCTTATTCGGTGGGCGTCTCAGTTTTTTTTTTTTTGGGGGGGGGGGGGCTTGGAATACCATTAGTTTTGCAAGGAATCAAGTCTCTTAGTGAGACCGATTAGTATGCCTTATTCGGTGGGCGTCTCAGTTTTTTTTTTTTTTGGGGGGGGGGGGGCTTAGGATGCAATTATAGCGACCGGAGCAGAGACTTGGAAAACAGCAGGCAGCAGTACAGACATTCTTAAAAACACGTGTCAGAAAAATCTATAACATCAAATGGCAAAATAACATTATCAACAAAGATCTAGTAGAAAGGACTAACCAGGTGCACATCGATAAAGACATCATAAAGAAAAGATGGGATTGGAGGGAGAGCACTCTCCAAGAACTTCCAGTCAGCAACACTAGACAATCTCTAACTTGAAATCCATAGGGAAAAAGAAAAAGAGGAAGGCCAAAGAATACATTGAGACGCGATCTAGAGGCAGACACGTAGCATAGGGGATACACATGATGACAACTTGAAAGGAAAGCACAGGAACGTGATAGATGGAACATTATTGTTGACGGCCTCTGCCCAGACGGGATATAAAGGCACAAGAAGAAGATAGCGACTGGAAGGACAGCACAGGAACGTGATAGATGGAACATTATTGTTGACGGCCTCTGCCCAGACGGGATATAAAGGCACAAGAAGAAGATAGCGACTGGAATAGATCATAAAAACATTCTTTGAAAACCTCGAATTAGCTAAATCCTACCGTTAGCAAAATCCGTCTTAATGGAGCCCAATTATCGCGTCAGAGCTAGGTATCTCTTGTGTGATATGTTGGGGTATCTCTAACAAAGTTACTCTCCAAAATAACCATTTAAATGCAACGGTTTCTTTTGTCTGGGCAAATATTTTTGTATTAACACACCTGACACCAATGCACTCTGTACTTGAGAGCATTTTGTTTTCTTTCAATGTGCCACTTGTCTGTTAAAATTTGACGAAATCGGTTTTGCGGGGGTCACACGCGGCGACACAACTTGTCCGTGGGGATGCCTCAGGTCTCAGGCCCCACAGCACTAATGTTTTGGAAGCTGGTTGTTGTCTGGGCCTGGGGCTGCCATTATTTGCGAGTCGGCTTTTAAGAATGAACCATTCAAGTAAAATTGGCTAAACTCAAACATTCAGCGATCCTCCCACAATTCATATAGTGTGTAAAATCGTATAGACTTTTGCCTTAAAATAAATACAGAAACTAACGTCCAGGCTCTTCTGACGCCAGTATTTACATTAATTACTAACATATTCGGATACGGTCACCAACACAGGGCCCCATATGCTTGTAAATAATATTATATTAAACAATATATTATTGCAAACTCTGGCATTAGTAGGATGTGCAGGGTTGGTTGTTAGGCTGACGTGTATTAAGTGAGGCAACGAGAATCGTTGAAGGGGATGGGGTGGTGGGTATTAACCCTTTGATGCATATTGAGGTGTTTCTAAAAAAACAACCTTTAAGATTGTTTTGGTTTTCTTTTAAAGTATGTAATCTTTGTTGTATGACGACCATCCGCATGCATGCTCCGTTGTGGCTAGAGTTGCAAGAACTGAACTGTTTTATTATATTTTTTTAAAGGAAATATATAACTAACTGTTTAGTTCGCGTATGAAATTCAAGGTGGTTTGAGAATTTTATCTTTCACCTTTCAAATTTCTATTTAAATGCCTAATACTGTCTTTTTTGTGTTGCTTTTCCTCCATTTTGAATGAAATGGTTGAAAAAGGGGGGATAGCTCAATTTTAATTAATTGTTTTTAAAAAAAAATAACAGTTATCTCTGTAGTGCGGATTATTGA